TTCCCCTCTTTTCGGGGATATCGCGTCATGCGTTGGCTCTGCCATGTCTCCCCGGCTTCACTGCGGCCGCTTCCGAGGCATTGGGGGGGGGGGAGGGAAGGACGAGGATCATCTGCAGCTTCTTCGCGGCAGGCGCGAAGGCGCTCAGGCGATGGAGGCGCCCACCCTCTCCTCCGCGTAGCCCCGCGTGGGGGGCATCACCTGGTAGTAGATGCCCTTCTGCGTCACCGTCTCTGCCGGAAACTTCGGGAAGTTCTCGAACACCACATTGTCGTCGCCAAGGCATTTAAAGTCAACCTTTACCCCGCCATCGCCCTCCGCGCCGATGGGTTTCGAGCAGCGGACCCCCAACACGACGGGGACTTCCGCGGCCCCCTCTGCCACGGCCGCCGCCTGCGCCTCACTGCGGTTGTTGAAGTGCAGCGGGGAAACCCGGTTGCGCAGGTTAGCGAACCATTGCTGGCTGCCGCTCACGGTGTCCTCGCTCTCCATCATGCGTGGAATGAGCAGGTACGGCGACGCCTCTGGGATGAGGCGGCACAGCATGCTGATTTCGCGCGCCTGCACGAAGGTCCACTTGTCTCCCGACGGCGCTGCGGTGTCCACAGAGGTGTTTTTCATGACCCGGAAGGCCCCGTCCTGAGCCTCGTGCGCCGTGGCAAGGGAAAGCATCAGGGGCGGGTACTCGTGCGGCTCGTCGGCGTGGTCGGCGTAGTCCCGCGTGGTGCGGGGGTCAATGTTGCGCAGCATGAAGCAGATCCACACCGGGCTCGCCACGCTCACCTCGAGAACGACCGAGGGGCGGCAGTCGGCGAAGGTGAGGGGGAGGCGGTAGTCGTAGGCCACGTGGCGGTAGATCACCCCGCCCCCCTCAAAGCACCTCAGCACGTGCTGCCAGTCCATCCAGATCGTCGAATCGGCGGCGTCGCGGCCGGCACCGCAGGCGCGGCTCACCTCCGGGTGCGCCTCCCACTCCGCACTCGTCGCAGACCACGGCCCGCCCCAGTCTTCGCAGGAGCCCCACACATTGCGGATCTGCAGCAGTCGCACGTCCCCGTGCTCGGGGAAGTGGCGCACGTCTGTGACGGTGAAGGCGTGGCCGGGCAAAATGCCGGTGCCTTCGAGGAGATGCTCCGGCTCCTGCCCCTCGCCAAGGACGCCGGCCAGCTTGTTTGTGCCGATGATCAGGGCAGGCGCCTTTCCCGCCGTCGTCAAAACCAACTGGTACCCGCACTTCCGGTGCTGGAGCAGCTGCTGGAAGAGCGCCTCGCCGCCGTCCTTCTGCGCCTCGGCGAAGGCCTCGTCGAAGCGCGAGGAGGGGCACCCTGTCATGTCGCTGAGGGCGTGCACGGGGTCGCCAGACTGCACCAGGCCGTAGCTACCATTCACCTTGGCGAAGGCCTTCTCGAGCACCGAGGGCCAGAGCTCACAGGCGTCGCTGCTGTGGGCAAACCGCGGCCTCCCCGCATAGCCTGGAAAATAGTCGTCCACAATGACGCTGCCCCAGAGGCCATTGGTGTTGAGTGTCACGCGATACGCCCCAACAGCGCGCTCGAGCCGCGCCGTCGCCGCACCAAGCGGGCAGCGAAACAGCCGCATCACATCCGCCGGATTCTCCTCCAGCGTGGCCATGGCGCACATCAGCCAGCAGTCGCCGAGTTCGCCCTGCTGCACGTCACCGGGGGCAACTTTACTGCGGAAGAGGCGCAGCTGGTCGACCAGCTCCTCGCGCAGCTGCATCCGCGGACGAAACCACGGCATCTGCTTTGGCGTGCGGGTGGCCCCGCGTTGAATGCTGTTCCACACCGGCGGGAACTCCAGGTCGGTGAAAGGGACATTCTCCGCAATGCACCGCTTCAACGCCTCCTCGGCCCCCTTCCACTCACCAACGAGGCCCTGCACGGCGGCAATCTCCTCCTGGACCTGGCTGTGCTGCAGCGCGTCGCGTGTCTGGAAGTATTCGTCCGAGAGGGGCAAGGCACGAAGCCGGCTGTTGAAGCCGTTCACAAAGCCCTTCATGAACAACTCCGTCTCCGTGGGGTACACCACCACCTCCGCGGTGTAGCTGCCGTCCGGCGCGCGAGACATCGTTGTGCGCCCCAGCGGCTCCACCTTGGAGTGTTTGCCAAAGGTGCAGGTGACGTGCACCTCGAAGGCGAGGCTGTCGTTGTAGAAGGCCCAGACTTTGTTCTTCTTGTTCACAATGCGGTACAGCAGGCCGGGCTCCTCGAAGCAGGACATCACCTCCCCCTCCATCTCCGGCTCACCGTTGACAAACGCGTACTTCGTCTTCTCCGCCTCCTCCTGGAACACCGGCTTCCGTGCAGTGCCGATGTCAAACTCATCCTCGGGGTCGTCCTGCGGCACGGCGAGGCCGAGCGGCTCCCATCGCGTCGGCTGCTTCGGCTGCTTGCGCAGTACATTAGTGGGAGCTGGCCCCCCGTGCCTTTCTAGGCTCTCCGGCGAGGCCAACGAACGTTCCCTGTCCGAGGCATCCTGCGCGTCGCCGTCGCCGTTCCTACCGTTGGCGCGGGCGTCTGCCGCATGCGGCTTCTCAGCTGCGTCAAACTCGACGGAGGCGGAGAAAATGCTGGCATTGTCGATCTCCCCAGGCTCCGTCGCCGGGTAGGAGGCGTCTTCCGTGTTACGCGGATTCGCCGCGTAGTTGCGCTCTGCCGCCTTTGTTGCGGACGGCATTCCCTGCAGCGTTGGTTTATCGGCCCTTTGGTTGCTTGCTTGTGTGCGTGGCAGCGTTGGCTTGTCTTGCTTCGGCGGGCAAGGGGGGAGGCGAGGGGCTTGGCAACAGCTGTGAACGGGACGCTCGCGCGCTTCTCCTCGTGCAGACGACACGGCGCGCACAAGGAAAGAAAGCGAGAGAGAAAAAAAAAAGAGAAAAGGAGAAGTCTACTCCCAGGCAAGACGGAATGGAGGGGGCACGCTGGTGGGGAAATGAGGTAACGAGCGAGGGCGCGTCTACCCACCCCGGCGTCCCTTTCCATCCACCCGTCTGCATCCGCCTTTGGCGCTTTGCGTTTATTTTTTCCTTTTATTTTTCCCTTTTTCCGCTTGCTTTCTCTCTCTCTCTCTCTATGTGTGTGTGTGCATGGGAGGAAGAGGCATAAGAGGAGGGAGGGGGGGGGGCAGTGCAAACTACGCATGCCGCTGTTTGGCTCACGCGTGGGGGCGCACGTAGCCAACGTAGGAGAAGGGGGTGATGGCCAGCAGCTCGCGCCGCACCTCCTCCGAGATGCCCGTGAGGCCTTCGATGAACGTGCGCACCGTCTCCCGCGTCACCGCACGGTTGCCGCGCGTCAGCTCCTTCAGCGCCTCGTACGGCTTCGGGTAGCACTCGCGGCGCAGCACCGTCTGGATGCCCTCCGCCACCACCGCCCAGTTGGCCGCGAGGTCCTTCTCGATGGCCTCGCTGTGCACCAGCAGCTTCGCAATCCCCCGCCCGATGGAGGCGAAGGCGATGCAGGCGTGGCCGATCGGCACGCCCAAGTTCCGCAGCACGGTGCTGTCGGTCAGGTCGCGCTGCAGGCGTGAGATGGGCAGCTTGGCGGCGATGAATTTTAGCATGGCGTTGCTCACGGCGAGGTTCCCCTCCGCGTTTTCAAAGTCGATGGGGTTCACCTTGTGCGGCATCGCGCTGCTGCCCACCTCCCCCGCCTTCACCTTCTGGTAGAAGAAGCCCATCGAGATGTACTGCCAGACGTCGCGGCAGAGGTCGATGAGAATCACGTGCAGCCGCGCGCAGGCGTCGCAGAGGGCGGCCAGGTTGTCGTAGTGCTCAATCTGCGTCGTGCACTGCTGCCGCTGCAGGCCCAGGTACTTGGCGAGGAACAGGTCTCCGAAGCTGCGCCAGTCCACCGCGGGGTAGGCCACGAGGTGGGCGTTGAAGTTGCCCGTCGCCCCACCGAACTTGCCGGAGTTGGGGATCGCCACCAGCTGCCGCCGCTGCTCCCGCAGCCGCTCGATCCACACCATGAACTCCTTCGCGAGGTTGGTCGGGGACGCCGGCTGGCCGTGCGTGCGGGCCAGCATCGGCACGTCCCAGTCGCCCAGCCTGCCCGCCAGCGTCTGCAGGAGCCCGTCCAGCGCGGGCAGGTACGTCGACGCGATGGCGTCCCGCAGCATCATCGGAATCGCCGTGTTGTTGATGTCCTGCGAGGTCAGGCCGAAGTGCACAAACTCCGTGACTTGGGCGAGGCCGCAGCTATCCATCCGCTCCTTCACGAAGTACTCCACCGCCTTGATGTCGTGGTTCGTCACCCGCTCCTTCCGCTTAATATCCTCAGCGTCCGCGACGGAGAAGGTGTCCACCGCCGACGCGCGCAGCTGCCGCAGCTGCGCGTCCGTCACCCCCCGCAGCGGCGCGATCGCCGGCACCTCCTTGCAGAGGGCGATGAAGTACTCCACCTCCACCCGCACCCGGTACTTGAATAGGGCGAACTCCGAGAAGAACGCCCGCAGCGGGGCGGTGCTGGACTTGTACCGCCCGTCCACGGGGGAGAGGGCAAGCAGCGGGATGTCCCGCGTGTAATCCACAGGGCTCTCCGTTGACATGTGACGGCAGAAAAAAAAAATCGCTCAATCTACTTGAAATCCTCTTGCAGCCCGGTGTAAACTCACGCCGCGTTGCACATGACCAGCACAGGGAAAGATGGAAAGAAAAAGCGGAAGTGTGTGTGGGGTGCCTGGGCCGCACCCAAAGCAGCCCCCACAAAGAGGAAAAAGACGGAACAATAAAAAACTATATATGACAGCTCGCCTCAAAAAGACGCCCCACGCAAAAAAGTCCTTCACACCACACAAATAGATACATGGAAAAACAAGAACACAGCGATCATGCGGCATTACCGTTGGGGCAAAGCGCAGCGGTGCTCTTCTTTGCGGCCTGCCCTGCCGCCGGGTTTCCGCCGCGCGTGCCGGTGGGCGGGGCGCTCACGCAAGAATACCGACGGCGTCCTCCGCAAACACGTCGGCCACGCCAAACTCGGCCATGAAGCGCAGCCGCTGCCGCCCCACCGCGGCGAAGTCCGGCGGCTCGCAGTGCGGCGTCGTCGAGGACAGGAGGAAGACACCGTCGGGCACGTCGTCCAGCGCGCCGAGGCCCTCCAGCTTCTCCCACGCCCCGCGCCGCACCAAAACGGGCAGGGGGGCGGACGCACGCCGCCGCAAGCACAACGCCACGTACGCCGCGAGGGAGACGTCGCAGGCGCCCTCCGCCGCGGGGGTCGGCCGCAGGCCAAAATACGCCGTCGCCCGCGCCGCCGCCGCCTCCCGGCGC